TGTTTGTCGCGCCTTGTGTCACCAACGCGGCAGAGAGGAAACGCGTTCGGCGACCTCGGCTTCTCCAGGCTAAGCAGAAAGGCTGTTGTTTAATTCCCGTGCCAGTTGCATAGGCTGTACTGCAACATCAGCTCAACGTATTGCTCACGGTGGCTGTCCCGATTGGTCAACGTCGCATAATCCTGCATTCGAAGACGGCCATACCCCGCTGTCACGCTATAAAAGTAGGATTTGGGTAGTATTCCATGCGCGTCGTGGCTCCAGGGTAATTAAAGCTGCCCAGGGCAAGGGCTTGAGCCAGGCTCGTGGATCTCAGCCATAAGTATAACTCCCTGTGCTGTCAGACTCCTTCGGTCAGCCAGACTCTTCCAGTCAGTGGTGTAAGTCGCAACATGGCTCTGACAAGGTTCACCATCGTGGCCGCCGTTCTATCGGCGTGGGCTGATCAGTCCACGGCCATCTCCTCGGCGTGTGCACCTCGCTTCACCTGGGAAGACGCGCAGTTGACGGACTCGATAGCTTCCAGCAATGCGTCGTTGTTTGGTTTCGACAGCAACTCGACCACGGCAAAAATCTCGCCCAAGTGTAAGGTCTTCCCCGGCGACGCCGCCTGGCCCTCTCAACTTGTCTGGAATCTGTTCAACGTCACGCTCGGCGGCGCCTTGATCAAGACGGTTCCGCTCGCGGCGCCATGCTACAACAACTGGCCGCAGCACGACGCTGCGCAGTGTCAGTATGTCACGAACAACTGGGCCGATCCGCATCTGCACGTTAGCGACCCAACCTCGGCCCAGTTTCCGCTGTACCAGGGCCGGACCTGCATGCCGACAGACAATCCGAACGACAACTGCACCTTGGGCGGGTATGCGTCGTACTCGGTCGCTGTCACCAAGGTCTCCCAAATTCAACTGGCCCTGAACCTTGCGCGCAATACCAATATCAGGCTGGTGGTGCGGAATACCGGTCATGACTTTGCCGACAAGTCCATCGGCGCCGGCGCACTCTCCGTGTGGACGCACAAGCTGAAGGACATCCAGTTCATTTCCAACTATGGCTGCAAGGGATTCCAGGGTCCTGCGTTCAAGATTGGTAGCGGCGTCGAGACGGAGGATCTGTATCGTGCTGCAGAGCAGAACAGCGTCACGGTTGTCGGTGGCGAGTGCCGAGTAAGTGACTTAGCCCCTGTTCTTGTGCTGGCTAACAACCCAAGACGGTCGGCATTGCTGGCGGCTACATCGCCGGAGGTGGTCACTCGCCGATGTCGTCGCTCGTTGGGATGGGTGCTGACCAGGTGCTGTCGATGGATGTCGTCTTGCCGAGTGGGCGCTACGTCACCGTCAGCGAGGACTCGTATCCCGATCTCTTCTGGGCTCTTCGCGGCGGCGGAGGCAGCACTTACGGAGTTGTCACATCCGTGACGGTCCGGGCCTACCCCAAAATCCCGGTGACCACCATGACCTTTGGTTTTGCGACAAGCTCCAACGTCACGGCCGACACGTTCTGGGCCGGCATCGGCAAGTACATGAGCTACTTTGATACCTTCACGGCGGCCGGCGCGTATGGCTATTTCCTTACCGTCGGCATCGGGCCAGGCCAGTTCTTCTTCCAGTTCATGCCGATGTGGGGGAACAACATGACGAAGCCGCAATTCACGACTCTTGTCACGCCGTTCCTCAACGACTTGGCCAGTCTTGGCATTGCCGTCACTCCCAACATCACCGAGTATCCTTCCTTCTACTCGGCCTACACCGGAACGTTCCCGCCAGAACAAGTCGGCAACACCAACTCACACGCCGCCTCGCGTCTCTTTCCCAAAGAGAACTTTCAAGGCACGAAGCTGAACCAGACGCTCGCCGCGGTACGGTACGCCATCGAGGGCGGCGGTGTGCTGATTGGGTACAACATCCGCTCTGCTCCGAACCCGACCGTCAACCAGGCCAACAGCGTGAACCCGGCGTGGCGCAAGACAACAGGATTTTTCATTCTCGGCGCCTCGTGGGCGGCCAACGCGACCGACGCAGAGATTGCGCAGGTGAGCGAGACCATGACGACCGACTGGATGGCGAAGTGGCGGGCGGTATCGCCGGGCGCTGGATCGTACATGTCGGAGGGCGACATCAACGAGCCAAACTTCCAGCAGTCGTTCTATGGCGATTACTATCCAAAGCTGCTGGCACTTAAGAAGCTGTATGATCCGACCGGTCTGTTCTATGCGCCGACGGCTGTGGGATCGGAGGATTGGTACATTACGGACCAGGAGGCGTGGATTCCGACGCAGAACGGGAGGCTTTGTCGGAAGTAGATTTGTGCAATTGACCGAGTTTTTTGCGCCTAACCGTATTTGACGCGATTCAGTCCTTGACTCCCACGACTTGGGCGTGTTCTATTTGTCTGTTGAACGAATGGAAGGCCATCAAGCGGACGGCATGGGGGTTGAGCTGCAAAGATATAATGGCCATGTTGATTGGGTTGTGTCTCGATGCGTGGATGCGAGCCCGGAGCTGTGGAGGGTCCGCTGCAGTGGAGGCAGGTGGGGCCGCCCACGGCCCGTGATGCATCGATGGCCCGTGCTGCCATCCCGATCCACCGACTCCGGCCCCGGATGCCAAGGAATCCACCACGAATCCCCTGCGGGTCTGTCAAACAGGGTTGTTCGGCTCGGGGGAGGATATTCAGAAACGTACAATACCCGTATGTACGGCGCGAGTTTCACTCTCTCGATCCCCAGCCTCCGAGTCATCGGGGATTGCGTGAGAATCTGGCCGGGGTCGGACAATCTCGGTGGCGCTTCCGTGTAGCACCTCTCTGATTGGCCGCCCGTACCCCACCGGAAGCCGGGAGCTGGCGATGGCAGCTTCCAGAAACTCTTCGACGTCACGCGTTTCGTCCGAGGAAGGCGCAAGCTGGTTATAAATCCGCAATGAGGCCAAATTCATCACACCCTCTCATTCTTTTCTCCCAACATCTCCCCCAAGCTTCAACACGGCGAAATCCATTGATCACTGATCATTTTGCGGCTTCTAATATTCAAAGTCGGCTGGCCGAAACATTTCACACTATATAGTATACATCTGCATAAACCTGCTTACTCATTACGAGGAGAGGTAAGGCAAGATGTCCGACAACTCCCTGTATTGCCACGCATGCCACCATCAATGGCAGAGCACTTCGGACGCCATCGAGTGTCCTGCCTGTAGGAGTGCATCTACCGAGATCGTTCGCGAGTCCCCTCCGTCGCTGGCGACAAGAACACCGCTAACGGGCTTCCAGATCACTCCTGAACATGACCCTCGTCACTTCCACAACCCGGCTGAGGACGCGCCTGCAACTGCGCCTACACCCGCAGTTGCAGAGTCGCAGCCGACCGTGGAGTCAACCACGGGCACTGTCGACCAAGAAATGACAGATGCGCCTGCGACGGAATCATCAACCGATACCCAGGGTTCCGATCATGCTCAAACCGGAAGCAACGCAGCTCCTCGTCGCCCAGAGTTTGTGTTTGTCTTCCCGCCGCCAGTGGTCACTTTCCACACCACAGTGGTCACCGATACGCATGTTCCACCACCGGACGCAGCTGGACCACGCGGTCCGCCGGTTACAACCCACTTCAGCGTCAACGTGTTCCCGCACCTCATGCCGAGATTCCACGTTGCACCCACGGCTCCGCAACCGAATGCTGCTCCGAATGGTACTGAGGACCAGCCCGAGAGTCAGCAGGGCGAGCATCAGCATGGACCCGCTCGCACACCCAGCTTCCTCGAACTCCTCCTGGGATCGATGTTTGCAGCCAATCCGGCGAACGCCGCCTTTGGCGATGCCGTCTTCTCTCAGGAGGCGCTTGATCGCATCATCACGCAGTTGAGGGAGCAGAGCGGGCCTGGAGGTGCACCGCCTGTATCGCAATCTGCCATCGAAAAGCTGGAGGTCAAGGACCTGGACGAGAAGATGTTGGGTGGCGAAGAGAAGACGCGCTGCGTCATCTGCGTCGATGAGATGTCGATCGGTGAGAAGGCGTCGGTTCTTCCCTGCAACCACTTCTTCCACGGCGAGTGCGTCACACCCTGGCTTAAGCAGCACAACACGTGTCCTGTCTGCCGGCAGTCGATCGAACCGGAACCGGTCAAGCCAGAGAAGGCTGCGCAGTTTGCGAATGAGCACGAGCCCCATGCCCCTGGCGCCCAGGATTGCTCATGAGATTGAGTTGGTGGTTGGAAGGCGTCAACGGAGAACAGTACCCCGGGATGCGACAATCGTCGCTAAACCTGAAGAATGACGAGGGGTGAGGGGGGAATAGAATCCTATAAGTTTGGGTTCAGGAGACTCTGCATTTATTAGCATGGCGTTGGGTGGATATACCAGTGATTAGGGGGGTTTCAGGGCTATGACGGCGACGACGGTACGGTTTTCATGGGATTCATGGGTTCGACAGGACGGAGCGTCTTTGACGCATTTGTATGATTGTACGATACAGGGATAGGCTGAATGCTTAGTTTCTAATCTCGTGCGTGCGGATTGGAACCTGATGCAGCTGCAACATTCGCCTGTTTCTCGTTAGAAGTAGGCAGTTAATAACCTTGCTTCGGCAACCAGATTGATGATGCCGTTGCTAAATTGCTCATCTGCGACCCCAGGCATTTGAATGCCGATGGATCAGTGCTGACGTATGTTTGTCCGTGACCAAGTTTGTCTTGCCACAGATTAGAGACCCTAGCTTGCTAGGGCTCTCTATAGAAGAACTTTATCATCGCTGCATCCTTTGGTTAATACGTGGAGAGTCATCAGAGAAGCTGAGAAGGCGAAGAATAAAGAGTCGTCAATTCCCGATGCTGAGTGCTGGTCAGGCACATGTGTGAGGTCATCGCTGTTCTTTTTCTATCACTGAACCGAACCGCCTAATCTCCTGCATTTGTCTGGCAGTTTTCAAATTTTCATTGGAGTTAAAAAAAATTGAGAATGCAAAGACGATGAAGGACATCAAAAAAAATTACAGGCAAAAAAATTGGACATACCGCGGATCGAACGCGGGACCGTCTGTATAAGCAACCGTACCGTGCCGTGGCGGGGTAGGCATTGCAAAACAGAAATCATACCACTAGACCATATGCCCTTTGCACTGTTATTTACCGATTGGAGAATTGTACCTTATAACGTCCGAGCTGGCGGGTGGGGTGCGTCGCTTTGATTGGACGGAGGGAGATGGGAGCTTTGTTTTTCAGGGAGCTGTGGTGCGATGGATTTGTTGAGGATGGGTTTGAGTTTGGATTATGTGTTTTGATTGAGAATAAGTTCGCAAGTTTGTTTTGTTTTGCATGCTGCCGCTGGTGGTGGTGATTATTTGTTGGGCCGTTTTGGTGGTGTTGGCACGTCATCAGCGTCTCATGCACTTGGCATTCATCACTGTGAATTTCTGGTAGGTTATTAAGGGTACAGAACCTGAATGAGTAGGTATTTTCGCGATGGTGGGGATAATAAAACATGAGAGACGATAATATGTTGAAGTCAAGTCACTTTGTCACCTACTAATGAATATGATGGAAGGGCTTAAACTGGGATCCCAGGTCTCTCTCCTGGTGTTTCGCCCGATGAAGCATCCATCCGGATCATCGAATACCCGGTTGGACTTCAAGGACCCGGCAAGTTCAAGTGCTACGGTAAGTAGGGTCTTGGGGGGGAAAACAGCACTGCTAAGGATTGATGAGCTGGAGCATATACAGTCTACTCATTGAAAATCTGTCGCATGCTCCCTGGTCAATTGGCTTGGGGAGACTCATTCGTTCCTAGAGAACTCGTCCCGTACCTACCACACAGCATCCCGATTAAGATAACCTCGGTAGGAACCTTGAGAGGGCGTGCCGCCATGCTCAGGTGAAAATTCAGTGCAAACTCAGACCCCTGCTCACACATCACCAGCCCCTTTCTGTGCGTCGCCCAAGTGACAATAACAAACATGGGGGGGGGGGGGGGGGGGGGGAGACAAAGGCGCTAGCTAAAAAACGCTCCAACCACAAAAAACAAAAAACAAAAAAAAAAAGAAAATAAAAAAAAAAACAAAATAAAAAAA